GAGGGCCTGGCTCCAGAACATTACTGCCTCTGCTCAGCATGTTCCTGGCTTTAGATAAGTAACTGTGTTCATGCATGGCATAAACTCCTGCATGGCAACATCAGAGAAAAGCTCTGAAGGCTCTAGAATCAGGCTATTACTGGCTCTGCCAAACATGCCCCTGGTTTAGATAAAGAGTTCTTAGTTAGGGTTTTTACTGCTGTAACGAAACACCATGACCAAAAAGAGCAAGTGGGGGAAGAAAGGGTTTATTTGGCTTATACTTCCAGACTTCCAGACCATAGTCCAACATTGGAGGACAGGAACTCAAACAGGGCTGAAACCTGAAAGCAGGAGCTGAGATAGAGACCATGAGGGGAGCTAATTACTGGCTTGCTTTCCCTGGCTTGCCCAGCCTGCTTTCTTATAGAACCCAGGACCACCTGCCCAGGGATGGCACCTGACCCACCATGGCTGAGCCCTTTGCCATTGATCACTAACTGAGAAATGCCTACAGCTGGACCTCATGGAGGCCTTTTCTCAGCTGAGGTTCCCTCCTCTCTGATGACTCTAGATTATATTAGTTGACACACAAAGCAGGCAGTACAAAGAGCTATGTTTCTTCTCTATACATCAGGGCCTTGGGTCAGTCCAGCCCTCAGGATGTTCTATTATCTCATCTCTCAAGGATCTCTTCCTTATTTATCATGGTCAATTCTCTACTGTTACTGTCATATCTCTCTCTCTCTCTCTCTCTCTCTCTCTCACACACACACACACACACACACACACACTCATGCACGCATACTAATGTACATACACATACACACACACACACAGGCATGCACAAACACATGAAAGAACATAACATGTCAGGTTCTACAGTGTCTAAGGACCAGCAGCCCTGGAACTGTGGAAGAGAGAACCCCATTGTTCTGTTGGGATGACGTTCTCTGCTGGAGTCAGGTGCAGCCTGGTGTAGTTTGTTTCTAAAGGTCTTCATTCCATTTGTGTAATAGAACCAGACTGTTTTAAAACAAAGAGGCAACTAAGAAATGATGAGAGCAGAGAAAGAGTCTTCCCCAGGGAAGCACACAGCAACAGGCTGCCCAGGACCAGATGGTCAGCGCTGAAAATGTACAAGTAACATTACAGACTGAGCAGGCTGTGTTTATGCATTTAGGAATATGTATATGAATACATGTATGTAACAAAAATTAATGCAAACAGAGGCCATGAATTTGAGAGATAGAAAGAGGGGATATACTGGAGGAAAGTATGGAAATGTGGAAAGGGGAAATGATATAATTACATTATAATCTCAAATTTTTTTTTAAAAACTACAGGAAATAGACAAAACACTAAAAACTTACAAAAGAAAAGTGTCTACTTACTTACAAATGCAAACTTACCAGAATCACACCACCCCTCTTAACAGACACTCTGGAAGCAAAAATAAATAAAATAAAAATAAATAAATAAGTAAAAAGCATAGAATGGTATAATCTAAGCCCTGAAGCAAATAATTGCTACCCATGTTTGCCAAGTTATCTTTAAAAATTGAGGGAGACCCAGAGCCCTTCATGACAAACACAGACTTAAGTCATGACAACAATGACAGCATTGAAGGTACTGAGAGCAGTTCTACACACAGAGGACGGAAGAGGCAGCCACAAACAGGGCTTTGAGGCATCGCCTCTAAATCTTCCAGTGATGACCCTTGGCTGTCACCGGTCTAGCATGTTTGTGTGAGGCTGGCTTCTGAAGAGTTGCCTTGATGTCTCTTTCAGCCCTCAGCTTCAGACCTTCTCTGCACAGGTCTCCTGGCTTGATGCTTAATTACTGATCACTTAAAAGTGGCACCCAAGAGTGGTCCATATAGTGTTAGTCTGGCTTCAAACATGGGAGGGGAGGTATTCCTAAATATTAAACACGGATTTCTCAGTGACTTTGTCCTTCCTTAACAATGGAGATTGCTCATGATCTCTACTAGGATGGTTTCTTACCACTCTCCTGTGGGTACAGATGGATTTTCCTTATCATCTCAAACCCCAGTAGCTCTTCACCAGGGTCCTGAGGTAGAAAATGATGTGTTTTCTCCAGTGGATGAAGGGCTGCATTCATCAGAGCGCACGTCTGAGCAGGGCTGCATGCCTACACAGCTGGAGAGGAGCTTTCTAAGGTTTCTTTTAAAACCTGCCTCCAAGTTTCCCTTGAGCACCTGACAGAGATCCACGGAGAAGTTAGCAGTGGGAGTCAACTCCTCCTTAAGTATGTGGTCCCTAGGGATTTTACACTCTTATACTAGACACACATCACCTCTGACACTTCAGTAAACTCCCCCATGTCCTCCTCCTGTGTTTGATGATATCTCCCAGCTGGAAGTGGAAGACCAGCCAAAGCTCACATTGTATTCTTCTTGAAAAATATTTCCTCCCAAATTTGGGCATAAGCATTTGTCAAGTCACACCCCTACACAGAGGCATCTTCCTATGACAGCATCTTTCTATTTGTCTTTCTCAAACTAAGGTAGTTGGAGACACAGATAATGAGTTGATCTTAAGATGAATGTTTATTCTCCAAATTGAGGCCTCAGGTACAACCATTCTCCCCCTGTCCCCAGCCCATCCCCATATAACAAAATTCTCCAGTCTTCTCAAAGATTCATCACTGGCCAAGAAACATCTTCTATGGAGTAGCTTTATCTTGACTTTTCTAGTCTCCTGAGACTGGAAGAGCTTCCTATTCATATCTCAGTATGTACTTTCTGTGATGGCTTCTTGGACCTAAGCTTAGTCCAGAAAGCCACTTCCTTATCTTTCAGTCTCCGGGCTGGCTGGGTGGTGGCTCCAATCTGCAGGTACCCTTCCTTCTGGTCATACTCTGGCCAATAGGGCAGCCCCTTCCCATTGGGGTTCCTGGGAACAGAATCAAACAGAATTTCTTAGTTACTGTGGTGTCCCACATTCTTATGACATTTATAGACATTCCTGGCTTATCTCTGCCAAAGGCTTGTGCATAGCAAGAAATTGGGGAGCAACATTGTCAGAGCACTGTGGTCACAGGCTGGGATTTGATCACTTATATCTTAAAATGCAACCCTTCCCAACAGTCCCATCTTGCCCAATATCTTGGCAATGTCTTTGTACTATTCTCACCCATTCCGAGCAAAGTTGGCCCAGAATTTCATCACCATCTTGCTAAGGTTGGTCTCCTCTTCTGAGGCACCTTCTGTGGGAAATAAGATTATATTATTGCAGCTCAACATGCATTTCATGAACCAGACATGGCTTGTTAAAAATGCAGAATATGGGTTCTAACTAAAAAATTATTGTGTCTAATTATTCATTGCAAGAAGGTCATAGTTAGTTGGTGTGTACTTTCAGTTTGTGAATGAATGATCCAGGACTCAGCAATAGTGATGTAGTTCATTCCTAGCTGGCTGACTTCATTTTCCATACCCACCATTCGGTTCTTCCTTACTTAGGATGTAGATGCTGAAGTTCAGTGATGTCCTTATATAAAAGTATTTCTGGCACTTGTGTCTTTTCTCAAGCTCACCTTCAAAACCACATATTCATAGTTTGAAAAAAATCTTAGAATAGCAAACATTCTAAAACCTACCTAGTTGGGAGATGCCCAGAGTCTGTTATCAGCAGCCACTGAAATGGGCCAAATCACAAGAACTGCTGAGAATTAAGGTATTAAAGATGGTCATGAAATGATTTTTGATATATTATGAGTTATAATATAAGTAAAAGACAACATTTGGATAAATAGGTATGCATATAGACAGACAGGTAGATGCACATGACATCTGATTCATGGTCAGCAACAGCTTGACCTCCTCTTAACTCACATTCTGATAGGCCATTTTGAGTGGGAAATCAAGTAGTGCAATTCTTATCTTCAAGTGGGGGGACTTGGGTGTTACTTTCTCTTAGTTATATTAGCAGTCAACATCCTGATGTAAAGCATTGCTGACTGCCCGTGAGTATATACCTTTCCTAGTAGTTTCTGGAGTGGGAGAAAGCGTGGGCACTAGACATTTTAGCTCATTCCTGTTATCCTGAATTGGGAAATAAATATTAAGAGACGGTAAAGGAATCCTCCCTTGGAGACTGCAACTACTTCCTGAGGCAGTGCCCACCAGCACTAATTGGACTAAGAGGTGAGTCTTTGTCCTCATAGCTGAACACCCCAACTTCTAGGCTTTGGGCTCAGGGGAACAACCCTGTGCCCCCACACTACCACCCACTGCAGCCCCAGTTTCAGGCCAGTAGGCAGGTTTCCTGCAGACAGGTCAGATTACCACAATCCCCCACCAGACCCTGTAACCCACAAGCCCTACCTCCCCCAAACCCCACCCATCTTCAGAGACTGCAACTGATCCCTGAGACAGAACCTACCAGTGCTGATTAGACTAAAAACCCCCTGAGACACAGAGTCCATCAGCACAAATTGGACCAAGAGCCCTAATTATACCAAGAGCTCCAATTGGACCAAGAGTATCAGTTGGACTAAGAGAGGCTCCCTCAGACACAGACACCACTTGCACAGAGTGGAGGAAGAGATGGGTAGATGCCAGTGCAAAAATACAGTGAACAACATAAAGACCAATATGGCACCGTCAGTCCCTAGTGATTCTACATCAGCAAGACCT